GCTTGAATATGAAAATGTCCAATTTGGTTCACAGCCTTTGAAGAAAAAACTATAACTTTTAATAACCGCTAAAACAGACTAAATAACTTATGAAATGATTTATTGCAAATGATTTTGAAAGAATGCAAGGCTTTTCAAGTGAATTAATGATAAGACAGTTTCCTGTTCTGGTTCAACTCAATGTAAGGTTATAATTTCTTAAGCAGGAACTTTTTCTTACTTTCATATTTTTTTTATAATTAATAGCATTTTATTTTTTCCAGAGTACTGATGAGTTACATTCATTGCAATATGAAATAACAAGCACCACAACTGACTTCACATCACATAATAAAAAACACGCTATATATAAGGTAAAGGTGTATGAATTTAATTTTTGGATTCGACAGGCGGATAAGGCATTGAAAGAAGGAGTCGTTTATTATGTCGAAATGTCAGGTCTCGCTATGCGTGGAATGTATGCGATTGATTCGAGTTTTCTCTCTCGGTTAACATATTTCAATGGATTCACGAATTTAAACATTTGTAACGTGTCTTCTTTTTTAGTTCGTGTGCTTAGCTTAAAATTGGGCCGATATAATGATTGCTGTAAATTTTGTTCGCACTCTCGTTTGAAAAAAACACAACATTAAATCTATTTTTCATTTATCTAAACGAGGTTAAGTTGCTTGTCCTTTGTGGAAAAGAGTATCATGTGTATGGTTTGTTTTCCTTGTGCTGTTGAATTGCTGTTTCATTTTTCATATATAACACTATTTACAGGGTACTTTAGTTGCAGTTTTGAAGACTAATTGTCTCAGAATGGTTGTTAACAGACAATTTCTGATAGAATTAAAAACGGTTTGTAATACTCATTATTTTGTTGTTGTTGTTGTTGTTGTTGTTGTTGTTGTTGTTGGGGGATATGTTTAGTATTTTCATCGTTTCAATTTCTTTGAAGGAAGATATGCTATGATTGCCAATGAGACAACTGCCCACCAGAGATCAAATGACGTAGACGTAAGTAATTATAGGTCATCTTAAAACCTTCAACAATGAATAAAACCATACTGCATAACAAGCTATAAAAGACCCTGATATAACAAAGGTAAAACAATTTTAACGAGCAATCTAATATTATATGCAGCAACAAACGACAACCACTGAACTACGGGCTCCTGAATTAGGACTAGCACCGCACAAACTATAAAAAAAAGGTTGAAAAGGGCTTAGCTCATTAGATCGATACAAAGCACATAAACATCTAACAAATACACTTAAGTGCAGATATGAGAGTAGCACAGTTACTCATAGCTAGTTCAAAACCAATTACAACTTACAAAAATTCTTGTATCTAAGACTTTAATATCAATGAGTGCATATCCAATTGATTTAGTGTAAAGAAGTCATAAATAGTCAAAGAAAAACATGATCTTGCGTTCCTCTGATGAAAAGTTCTGACAGATATTTGAAACAAAAGTAATTTTATTATTGCTTTTGCTGTCTAGAATAAATGCAAGTTTAACTTAATTCTGGACATTAAATAATGTTATTGGAAAAGCAAGTGAACTACATCTGAAATTCATGTTGAGTGTATTTCACTTTCACCTTAAGATAATACATTACTATTATTATTATACTGCTTTTTGGGTGTATACTAATAATGTTATAATAACGGGTGTCACATGTGAAGCAGGATCTGCTTACCCTTCCGGAGCACCTGAGATCACCCCGGTTTTTTGTAGGGTTCATGTTAGCTCAGTCTTTAGTTTCCTATGTTGTGTGCTGTGTACTGTTGTTTGTATTTTCGTTGTTTTTCTTCTTTTTTTGTCTCGTGACGCAGATAATCCTCAACACTCAAGTCGTCAGACTGGTTCTTTTTTACTTCAGATGAAAGACCTGCAGTGTAATAATTTGGTTAAATTTATTGGATTATACCGAACACTGAAAGGTGTATTCATAGTCATGGAAGATTGTTCTAGAGGTAGTTTACAGGTATGTCAACATTTCACTATAACGAACAAAATACAAGGCCTTTAAATGGGATGCTAAAAGATGCCCTGCGAAATAGGGATCATTACCTTGTTTTCAGGTAATGTCTAGTTTACAAGAAAAAAAGAAGAAACAGGAATATCAATTTCGAGATCTTGACATCTTATCATGTCATATCTTATCTTGTTGAATTTTGCTTTTCATAGAACATCACTTCCTTGCTAGGGAGAGGTTTAGCTAGCTATAAACCCAGGTCTAATACACCGTTTTCTACAAAAGAAACTACTTGTACCAAGTCAGGAATGTGACAATTGTTTTCCATTCATTTGATGTGTAAGAGCTTTTGATTTTTTCCATTTGATAAGGGACTTTCCGTTTTGAATTTTCCTTGAAGTTCGATATTTTTGTTATTTTACCTTTTGCTAACCTTCGGTTCCAAAATTTTCATCATTTTTGCCATTCATTAAATTTTAGTTTCTAGTTTTTTTAAACTGCAATATGGAAAATACCATGTGTATCTAATTAATACATCACAAATCTTCTTATCCAAAAAGTATTGAAATATATCTCCTATTCACTTATAATTTTTAAGGATCTTTCACTCGAGTATTTTGTATAAAAAAAACGTTTCGTTAAATTATTCATTACCATAAAATTGAGAATGGAAATGGGGAATACGTCAAAGAGACAACAACCCGACCAAAGAGCAGACAACAACCCGACCAAAGAGCAGACAACAGCCGAAGGCCACCAATAGGTCTTCAACGCAGCGGGAAAATCACGCACCCGGAGGTGGTCCTCAGCTGGCCCCTAAATAAAATTGTGTACTAGTTCAGTGAAAATGGACGTCACACTAAACTCCAAAACATATAAATGAATCAAAACTAATAAAAAACATACAAGACTAACAAAGGCCAGAGGCTCCTGACAGGCGCAAAAATGTGGCGGGATTAAACATGTTTTGTGAGATCTCAACCCTCCCCCTATACCATCAAGCAAATGTAGAATAAAGAAACACAAAGCAATACGCACTATAAAACTCAGTTTAAAAGAAGTCCGATGTCAGAATAGGTAACAAAAAAAACTAAGCAAAATGACAATGATACAAAAATGAACAAAAGGACTACTAGCAGTTACTGACATGCCAGCTCCAGACCTCAATTAAACTGATTGAAAGATTATGTCTTCATCATATGAAAATCAAGTACAATCCCTCTCGTTAGGGGTTTAGTATCATACCATCATAAAATATATGAGAAGAACATAACCCGTATCATATATTTTTTTTATCACATCGATTTAAAATTTTTCTCTTTCATACATGTATTGGAATGATGTTTTCTTATATAAAGCTGCAATGTATTTTTGTCCTATAACATAATATGATTGATAGCCAACCAGGAGCTTTATGACAATAAAAAAATATATGAACTACGTTTGTCAGCAGTTGTTGTCAGATAATTGGAAATATTTGTAAGATTTCATTTTCAGGATATCTTACAGAATGACTCATTACGTCTTGACTGGGATTTTAAAGCAGCTTTAGTTACAGACCTAGCCAATGTAAAGTATTTTCTTCACTTTTTTAAAGAACGGTATATGGTAATGGGCTTTATATATTTTGCAAAATATTTTGTAAACGCTTTGTAGTTTTCGTTAATTTACTACTACAATAACTTTGAAAAAATGTAGAAGATTCCAAACTATCGAAGGACGATTCAAAAAGCGAAATCTAAAAAATAAATACACGAACAAAACAATATCAAGCAACAGACAGGTATACGAATCACGAACAGACGAAGGAGAGCACAAAAATAGTTATTGGGTAATATGAAGTCCCATCAAAACTTGAAGTGATATCATGCGCTCTGGAATGGTAGATAGGTTATGCCTTCTTTTTGTTCAAATGGTAAAGTCGGTAATAAACCATATTCGATAAGATTCACATTGATTCAGTTAAGGAACATGGAGCACTGTAAAATATGTCTGTGACAAACTGTAAAACACTTGTGCTACCATCAATCGATAAATATGTCATGGCGACATTAAAATGCATGTTATCTGTTTAGGCTGAATATTTGTCTATCTGAGCAGTTTGAATTCTGTTGTAACGTCACTTATTTCAATAAAATGCACATGTAAAATACGAAACTATCACTAAATATATTTATCGCGTCCGAAGCGCTTTAATTGGGTTAACTTTCACTAGAAACGCTCAAAACTAAAAATCCGAAAGCTGGTGATGCATAAATTAGAGAATGAAAAATCTCTGGTCAAAATTACTGCAGAATGTACCGTATTATGAAGCCCTCAGAAGGTGAATAAATATTTTTGACTTGAACAATATTAATGGAACAGTATCTCTTGTTAAAAGGACACAAATGATTCCAACAGTTTTCTTTAGAGAATGGAAATATTTGAAGTTTTTACAACTAAATCTGTATATCGGTATTATGTTCTCTTTTCATGGCACTTTTGGTCAAGAAGATCAAATCAGAATTTTTTTTCAAAAATAGTATGGTCGACATTTTCTTTGTATGTTCACCAAAAGAAAAAGTCCATTACATTTTAATATAATTATAACATTTTGATTATGCATGTAAATATATTCTCCACAATGGTCTTGATTCTAAAATGGCGAATCGTGTTAATCAATCGATGCCTGTTTCCTCTATATGCATGTTTTTATTGTCATATTCAGTTTCAAATGTGCAAGAAAGAAAAGAATGGTTGGCGAGACATGTTAGAATAAGAACACATATATGCACCAGCTAAATGTATGCTATTTCTCAATTGAAGGGGATGTCATACCTACACGATTCACCAATTTTAGTTCACGGTCGACTGAACAGCGATAGATGTATAATCGACAGTAGGTTTGTCCTGAAAATATCTGAGTTTGGTTTGCCATCTATCTTGGGCAGCAATCATCTCGAAAGCGTTGAAAATGAAAAAGGTGAGAATATGTATCATCGATGTTCTGTTTAAATGTTAATCATAAAACTTAGTACTTCCTGAAAAAATATAGAATGAAAATTCATATGAGACTCAAGTACAGACATACGACCAGACATAAATATAGAGGTGAAGCACAATATATATTCATATGCGCGGGAAATGATAACCACGGTAAGAACAATTTACAAATATATTGCATGTTTGCAATGTTTTTAATATTTGTACTCAATGACTGTTTGATAAAGGAAAGCCTCAACCACACTTGTCCTTGCGTTTTCATTCAAGACATTGGCTAAAAAAAAAAGAAAATAAGCATAAGAATTAGATATGCCTAAACAATTCATGAGGTGTTGGATTTGTCACATTTCATTATTATTCATAAAAGTTTGTCTACAACAGCGGTAACTTTATTTTGCCATTAGATATGTTAAATGTGTGTCATAATCATGAATATGTCTGTAGGCAAATAGAATCAAGTATATCTGAAAAAGATCTTACAAGTGTGTTAGGCTCCAAGATTGGCAGGAGATGACTAGAACTTAGCTCATCCTTATTTTCAAATTGCTATAACACAATCTTCAAAATTATTTTGTTGCGTATTAGGACAAAATCATATTGTATGGTACTATCCCTCATGTTTTGTTGAAGAGCAATTCTGTTACCGACAGCCTTAATTTTTTTTAATTTAGTTTCCCGCAAGCTTTGCAACATCTTGAAACTGGTACGCGACACGTTTTAATTTAATTCCAGAATGTATATGGTTTGCCCCAGAATGTTTGAGAGGAGACAAAGTGTCCCAATCGTCAGATGTGTACAGCTTTGCCATGATAATGTTCGAGATTCTGACAAGAATGTCGCCATTTGAAGAGGAAGCGGAGAATGCATCAATCCACGGTAGATAAATGAGTTGCATGATTGTTCAAAATGTGGCTTTAATTTGCTTAGGCAAGATATCTTGATTACCTCCTAGTATTTCATTTAAAATGTTATTTACCTTTAACAAACTTATTGTTTACCATTTCAACAGACGTACGAACTATCATGTTATTAAAAACCAAGACATATCGATGAAGACTTACACGAATACAAAAATTATTTCAACTATTTTTTTCTTTATATTTTATTATATCGTAGATGTTATTCGAAAAATAAAGACAAAGGGCGACAAACCTTTTAGACCATCTCTCCCAGCAATGTCAGATGACGTGCCTAAGATGATTGATTTGATGCAAGCCTGCTGGGATGAAAGTTTATTCAAGCGACCAACGTTTCGTTCAATCAAAAAACAGCTGAAAGAAATTACCGGGTATGTACATTATTCAGTGTGATGACAGAAGTTGATGTGATTTACCGTCATCGTTTTTTTTTACACATATTAACGTTTTATTTCTAAATATATCCTGTATACAATTACCCTGGTTGTCCAGGTAAGGATCCCTGTTTACAAAATGAACCACATATCCAGGGGTAATAGAAGGCTAAAAATGTAGTCCACTTTTTTACTTTGGATTTACAATTACTTTCAAAAATATATCCACATGTTGCTAGAAGCATCTAACTCTATACCAGTCCTGAACTTCAACATAGTAAGTAATTAATAAGATACCCACACAAAAGATGTGCATTGAATGCGACATACATAGTAGGCTAACACTTTTATATCATTTATATATATATGTATATATTAATAAAATCTATAGTCTTCACAAGTCATGAAAACGTTGACTGTCCATGACGTTAAAACACTAAATCCCTGGGATGTGTTTTAGTTGATTTCTGATGCATGATGCATGATTTTTTATTTTTAATTGTTTTTAGCTTTTAACTAGCTTTCAGTAACTGCGAGTACTCTCAAATCGTACTTTCGTGTTAATTTGTATTTTATTTTTGTTATTTAATTTTTACTTATTCAGTGTTATATCTAGCGCCTATTAAAACATTTAAACCCGCTGCATTTGTTTGCACATTGTCCTAAGTCAGGAACCTGATGTTCAGTGGTTGTCGTTTGTTGATGTGGTTCATTAGTGTTTCTCGTTTCTCGTTTTTTATATAGATTAGACCGTTGGTTTTCCTGTTTGAATGGTTTTACACTAGTCAATTTTGGGGCCCTTTATAGTTTGCTGTTCGGTGTGAGCCAAGGCTCCGTGTTGAAGGCCGTACTTTGACCTATAATGGTTTACTTTTAAAAATTGTGACTTGGATGGAGAGTTGTCTCATTGGCACTCATACCACATCTTCTTATATCTATTATATAATAAAAGCATAAAAAATATAATTTCGTTTAGAGTTTATATTACACATATTACACATATTATTTCGAAATTGCTATCATAAGTTTTATTAAATTCAGAAATTAATGCGTGCATTTATTATTTCGAATTATTATTGTGTGAATTGTGTTTGTTTGTAATCATAACCTAGGAATATATTACTTAAGCTGTATTTGGCAAAATCTATCGAAACGCGCGTCAGGCGTACAAACTTTTAAGCCTAGTATCTATGATGAGTTTATCTCCTTAGTTTAAATAGCTTCAACATATGTATTTCTTAATCAACCATTCAATCGTCAACTATCTTTCAAGACTGCTAATTTGTTGTGTTTGTCTGGATTTTCACAGAATATCAGCTAGTCACAACATCCTAGATGCATTATTAAGACGTATGGAACAATACGCTAACAATCTTGAAGAATTAGTAGGACAGAGGACTGAAGCTTTTCTTGAAGAAAAGAAGAAATCTGATCAATTGCTTGAACAATTGTTACCAAAGTAAGTAATAAAAATATACATACAATTGAGAAGTACAATAACTGAATAAAGACGAAATATGTAAACTAAAAATTAGAACGAATCTCGACAACTGACCCAATGCTGTAATAATTTCAATCACATTATATTCATTGAAATGTCAAAACTACCAATTAGTATTTCATTACAGAACAGTAGCTGACAAGTTGAAGAACAACCAGATAGTAGATCCTGAGGCTTATGATAGAGTGACTATATACTTCAGTGATATTGTAGGGTTCACCTCTCTATCTGCAGAGAGTTCACCAATGGAGGTACATTATGCACCACTTGAAATTAAGAAATTAAAATCCAATCCTTGGAATTTCTAAAATTTGATAAGCAATCTACCGATACATTTAATTAATCAATATAGAATAACGTCAATTTACACATAATCTTAAAATGGGGATTTGGTATCCAACTGATTATTCATTTTGTATATCAATTAGCTTTAATAATTAATAAAAATAATTAAACATTATACGGTATATAAAAAGAAATGCAATTTGTAAAGCAGATTAACTGATAATTGATAAAAAAAAAAACCAAAGTTTTTAAGATGTGCCACTGGATTTTAGAGGTTCGCGATCACAGATTACTTTCACAAATGCGTTCATCATAACAGTTTTCTATTAATCAACGCACCAGGGACATTTCAACTTTTTCATACAGTCTTCATCGCCGGTATGTTAGTCTGATATTGTCATTGGCTTTTATACTAACCACTTGATATTAATCTGGAAGCGTTACTTTTCACTCTATTTGAAATTGCGATTGTTCTACTGAACATCGGTATTTCCCCTTGACATTACTTATATTCGGATATGTACTTGAGTTAGCAACACGACGGGTGCCACATGTGAAACCGAAACTACTAACCCTTAAGAGTTCGATCAACCCCGGTTTTTGATGGGGTTTGTGTTGCTCAATCTTTCGTTTTCTGTGTTATGTTTTATATTCTTGTTTGTCTTTTCGTCGTTTTTATTTTTTGGTTGGTTTGTTTTTATTTGACATTTGATTTTCGATGCCCCCTTGGTATCGTCTCTCTCTTGTGCCATTTTGTTTGCAAAATACAAAACTGTGGCCTTACTTAAATACTCTTAAAGTGACAAGACAGACAAACGAGTGATTTCAATAATGTAAAACAGATATATAAAGCACACAAGAGCACAAGTCAGGAACTTCGCCAGTAGTTGTCATATGCCATATCTTATTGTTTTCGTTATTTGGAGAATTTGATTTTGATGGCAAATTGTTTCTATTAAAAATATTCTCAATTTTAAGACTAGGAACTGTTTGGAGCTTGACATATTGTATAGACATCGGTCTTTTGTAGAATACTGTGTGTTGCCATCTAGATATATTTTGGTTATTTCTGTTGTTGGGTTTCTGTCTCATCGACTCCCTCTTCTTTTATTAATACTTACAACGAATGCCTCTTTACTATAGTATATCTGTATATATTAATATTTTTTATTAATACTTACAAAGAATGCCTCTTTACTATAGTATAAAATTGAGAATGGAAATGGGGAATATGTATCTGTATATATTAATATTTTATAGAACAGTAGTCATAATAAGTACTATTTCAGGTTGTGGATCTGTTGAATGATTTGTACTGCGTTTTTGACGCTATTATAGAACGGTATGACGTTTATAAGGTAAGCTATGGATCTAACAATAAACCGTTAGATGTTATATTATTCGAAAGAATATGCATGGAAATAAACACACTCCCATACAATATTTGCTTGTCAAATAATGCTTATTTTGTCCATTCTAAGGGAATTTCATTTGCTTATATAATTTTTAACTGCAGTCCACATATAAATGAACGAATAGAAGTATTCTAATATGACGTCTTTATTTTGCTTTGTAAACAAAGTCGTGTCTATCAGCACAAAATATATTTGACACATGCGCGCAAACTTACTGTTTACATTCTTGTTATTTTCATTTGTATCCTAATAAAATATATACATTTTAGCTGCTTACAGAAAATATATTATATATTGCTATTCAAACAACATATATTTACCCTGCAATCAGTTTTTAAACTTATCAAATATGAAAATTTAATTAACATACTTCATGGGGAGGAGACGGAAACAGTCAAACATTTGTAAGGTATTTTTGTACGCTTCGACCTATAAAAATACCGTTTTTGTCATATTAGAACCGAAATAATTCCTTCAAAAATATTGCCTACCCATGTTAAAATTAGCATAGAGCATGACATGAAAGAATTATTCTTTAATTCATCTATGAAACAGTCGCCAAAAGTAAGCAGACTTGACATCGTGTCTACTTTTTATTTCACAGTCAGATTTACACATAGTGTTTTATTTAATGAATATGTTATGTGTCTCTATTTGTTAGCCAAACAAACCGTAATAAGTTAAACTTTCCCAGCATTATTAACTTTAACAACCGAAGAAAATTTCCTCCGATTGAAGTTTTTTTAAATCAAAGCTGCATATCTATAAATCCATCATGCAACAAATTAACCTTTTGGAAACACTGTTGCTCCTGTTCAAATGTCAGAAAAAAAATGACAAAACTAGCCGATCCAGACATTTTTTTTCTTATATGCAATAGCTTTAGGTATATGAAAACAAATGCAAAGGAAAACTAATACGATTTTATTATCTGATCATTGAAGTATTTCTGAAACATTATCCAATATAAAAGCACTGCATTAATTCAAATACAAAAGACAACTCTTTCTCCAAAACAAAGCCAATTACACTGATATTTGCCTAATCTGCATAAATACTTCTTTACCATTTTGTAGGTTGAAACTATTGGCGATGCCTACATGGTAGTATCTGGTCTTCCTACACGGAATGGCGACGATCATGTTCGTCAGATAGCCATGATGTCACTAGAAATAGTTCAGAATGTTGGAATATTTAAAATTAGACATCTCCCTGAAAAACACCTGCAAGCTAGGATAGGAATTCATACAGGTATATTATTGGCATGTGGAATTTTTTTCCCCCTCCGTGTGAAAAACAACATTCAAGCGTATTTGTCCTCAATGTAAAAGTTAACCTACCAATAAAAAATTTAATTTTAACAACCAGTGAATGTCCATATTTAATCAGAGAAGATACGTTTTAATTCAACATTTACAATTTCCTATAATTTTTTTCCCCTATTCAACATTTTGATAATTTTTTGTGTCTTAAGTTTTTAATGTACGGCTGAGTTTTAATTAGACGAAACACGCGTCTGGCGAAATTATAAGCCTGGTATCTTTGATGAGTTTTTACAACCACTGGGTCGATGTAACGGATGGAGAACGTTTCGTCCCCGATGGTATCAGCAGCCTAGTAGTAAGAGCACATTTCTGTTGACATTAAAGATGACCGAGATTTTATTTTTATTAAAAAATTTACTGTCTATAAAATGTTGAATTATCCGAAACACTATCGATTGCCATAGTCGTATTCGGCACACTTTTTTGCACGGTTTTTATGCTCTTCAACTTCATATTTGATTTGGTCTTCTTATTGTTTCAATTTGAGTGTTACTAATGGGTCTTAGGTAGACGAAACGCACGTCTGGTGTACCATATTATAAGCCTGGTATCCTTGATGATTTTTTTTTGTTTTGGAGACTATTAAAAAGACTATTTTTTTGTTTAGGAGACTATTTTGAAAATGCCTGTACCACGTCAGGAATATGACAGTTGTTGTCCATTCGTTTGATGTGCTTTATCATTTGATTTTTCCATTTGATTAAGGACTTTCCGTTTAGAATTTTCCTCTGAGTTCAGTATTTTTGTGATTTTACTTTTAACTTTGTGTCATTTCGTCGTTTTCCGTTTGTAGGTATCTCCTTATTGCCTTGATTCTTCCGTTGGTTTCTTTCACCTCTGTTTATGCAATGATTACTTCATTCTATGACATTTAATTAACTTATAAAAAATTCCGTTGCAAAAATACAACACAAGACCTTTTATAGGACCAGTATGTGCCGGGGTTGTTGGAACCAAAATGCCGAGATTCTGTTTATTTGGAGATACTGTGAATACTGCTTCAAGAATGGAATCACATGGAGAAGGTATGCAAAAATAAAATATCAATCATTGATAAGCCTCTTGAAATTCAACGCCTGTTCAATTGTTACTAGGTGCCAATCCTGATTTTTGTTGTTGATTGAAAACGTTATACTGAATAAAAGATATTATGATGAAAAGTGTTTAGGTTATTAAATGAATGAAAATGCTTCTCATATGTTTCTCAATTCATCATTTTGTGTTCTATTTCTAACGATCACTCATCAAAAATACTTCTTTTTACTTGTTTTTTCTTCTTATGTCATTAGTGTTGAGAAATAAATGTTTCATAAGAGGTAGGGCCAATTTTTCCTTTATTTATTTCAAAGCAGGGCGTTTTTAAAAGGTCTTTCGATCTTTACTTAAATTCATACTATCAGAGATTCAGGTGTTGACTTTAAGTTCTAACATATTGAATGTGATATTTCTAAACAAATCACAAAATCATTAACGCATGAAACCAGCTCGAAACTTTTTGAAATTTTGAAAGATTATGGAAAATTTCCAGTATGTATATATCCCGAAAATAAAAAGATATGACATCCTACCAAAAATCAAAATTGTGTTGGGTGTAAATTTATGTATTGTCTTTCGTATACAAATCAATTAATGTTAACTGCAACAAAAAATGTATTCTAATTTTCTATTTTTCATTTAAATGTCTTCAACAGCAACATATAGCACTGATCACTAATTTGATATGGAAATATGTAAAACAAAAAAGTTGAAAATTTTTATAACATGAGATGCTCTTCATTGCTCAATTTCGAATAAGATTTGATAACTTTTACGAATACGATTTTGATCCTGTGAGTGAAACCAGAGACATTGTATATATGTCTCTAAGGAAACAAATACAAGGAATTTGCCTTCCCAAAGTTTGTGTAGGTAAATAGAACCACACTAATTCGATCCGGGTAAGAGAGTACATATATCAAGAAATTATACATATTTAAACAAAGTACTTAAATACATAGCTGAACTTTCAAAACAAAATATTTGGATAGTTTTGATTGGCATGAAATAAAGCTTAAGACCTGGAGTCACTGTTGAACTCTAGTTGAATGCTTATTTTGAATGACAAACAAAATATATGAAACTAAAATAGATGAGCATATGTGTTTGTTTCTCTGATCAGAAGTACCTCTTTTTGCACGTGCTAACTTCCGGGAACCAGTGCACTCTTATATGCAATTAAAGGTGTGTTGAAATTTTAAGCACAAGCCAGGGTATTGTTTTGACATGAAATAACTGTCGATTTATTTAAACATATAACTGACTGTGCAGTATGGGTATTACTCAGTGTTGAAGGCCGCACAGTGACCTATAGTTGTTAATTTCTGTGTCATTTGATCTCTTGTGAACTTTGTCTCATTGGCAATCATACCGCATCTTCTTATTTTTATATCTATATAAAATGGCTATGAATGCTGAGAACTGCAGAAATTAACTTTTAAAGCATGAGGCCATGAATTGGTGGTTTTATTCCTATAGGCATGTGACACATGTGAATTGCGTTTTTTTTATTATCTGAACCCGGAAATTATGCTCAAAGGTAAAATTAAAGTGTGAAGAAAAACTAGAGGCTGTGCTGCTCACCTTGGTCTATGTGCATATTAAACAAAGGACAAACATTATAGACAAGAATAGAATTCATGACAAAATTCTCTGTTTTGGTGATGGTGACTTGTTTGTAGATCTTTCTTTACTGAACATTCTTGCTATTTACAATTATCTCTATCTATAATGAACTTGGCCCAGTAATTTCATAGGAAAAGATTTTTGTAAAAGTTTACAAAAATTTACGAAAAATTGACTTTAAAGGGCAATAACTCCAGAAGGGGTCAATTGACAATTTTCATGTTGACTTATTTGTAGAGCTTACTTTGCTGAACAATTTTGCTGTTTACAGTTTATCTCTTATATCTATTATAATATTCAAGATAATCATGATAATAACCAAAAACTGCAAAATTTCCATAAAATTACCAATTCAGGGGCAGCAACCCAACAAGGATTTGTTTGATGCATCTGGAAATTACAGGGCAGATAGATCTTGACCTGATGAACAATTGTACTCCTCTCAGATTTGTTCTAAATGCTTTGGTTTCAGAGATATAAGCCAAAAACTGCATTATACCCTCATGTTTTATTTTTAGCCATGGTGGCCATCTTGGTTGATGGGCGGGGTCATCGGATATATTTCTTAAACTAGATACCCTAAGGATGATTTAAGCCAAGTTTGGTTTTATTTGGCCCAGTAGTTTCAGAGAAGATTTTTGTAAAAGTTAACGGACGACGACGACGGACGCCAAGTGATGAGAAAAGCTCACTTGGCGATTTTTGCCAGGTGAGCTAAAAAAAGAGAGAATATTTCGAAGCAAGTAATCCAAAGGGATTACAATTCATCTGCGATCAAGTTTGACGGACATAAATTAAAACGTTCGTAGAAAACTGCACTTATAACCTTACAATCTAGCAATGGTACGATCAATATTTATGAAAGAATTTTTTTAGTCATAACGTCTGTACTAATGCAAAACAGTAGTCAGGAGAGCACCTAACCAAAATCATAAAATATTCATTTCAGCCATGAAGATACATGTCAGTCCTGAAACAAAGAGTCTGTTAGACAAACATGGCGGTTTTGTGTTAGAGCCTAGGGGAAATATCGAAATAAAGGTAAGTTATTTCAAAATTATACCTATACTGATTTCCAACAAGTAAGCTTAGTCAAACCGACCTTTTAGGCATTATTGGTATATTTGATACCCAGAAAATTTAAACGCTTTCAAATAGCTACACTTAGCTTTAAAAAGTGTACTATGCAGTGCTTCCAGTTAAGGTTGGTACCGTTGACAACTTAAGAACATCGCACTTGATCTCTTTTCAAAAAAGTGTACGTGTGAAATACTAAAGAAATTAAGTAGCAAAGATACCAATGCATAAAATGTTACAGAGAAAAAAAGATTGATCAACAGGAAAAAGTAAAATCACAAAAATACTGAACTCCAAGGAAAATTCTAAACGGAAAGTCCCTAATCAAATGGCAAAATCAAATGATATAACACATCAAATGAATGGACAACAACTATCATATTCCTGACTTGGTACAGGCATTTTCAAATGTAGAAAATGGTGGATTGAACCTGGTTTTATAGCGCTAAACCTCTCACTTGTATGACAGTCGCATCATAAAACCCAATTTAATTAAAATACGGTGTTGTCAGATCCTTGTAGGCGAAGTGTTGATGCAGGATCTGTATTTTAATCAGATTGGATAAAAACCAATGGTGAACTGGAAGAGAGGGACCCCCAGTCATATTCTTTGAGGGTGGTAAAGGGTTATTTTCGTGCAACGTGATCGCCGTTTTTTATTTCATGTTCAACATGTTTTTACTTTTTTAGTTGACGTTCAGTCGTGCAAGACAGGTGCCTCGTTCCACGTGTTCTGCTTATTTAATTTTACGTGCATCGTGAATTTCAAATGCTTATTTTGCGTGCTCGGTATTTTGCAAATAAATTTCAAACACTAGACAGGGATCGTCAAGTAAAAAAAATGATTGAATTTTGGTTTTCGATAAAGCAGAAAGGCCTATGATGTTCCTTTATTTGCATTTTAAAAGTTAAGAAGATCGTTATATACTTTTTTAAAAGCCGTACACCATTTATATCATACATGTGTATACTTAATCCGGAATATTAAGTAAAACAGAGAGTTTTTTATATACAAGAGGACAGTGACTCAGTCACAAAAGGTTTAATCAAAGTTTGTTGTGTATTTTTCGTGCAACGTTCATGACAGAAATTATTTCACGTTCAACGTGAAATTATGTCTTATTTCACGTTTTTTCCGTGCAAGCACCCCCCTTAACCATCCTCTTCTTTGCATGGTTGTCATTTGTTCATGTCTGCCATATTTGTATTTCGTATATTGTATTATGAATTATGCCGTTAGTTTTCTCGTTTGAATTGTTTCACATTTTTATGTCGGTGAATTTTATAGCTTACTATACGGTATGCGTTTTTCTCCTTGGTAAACTATAATTGCTAATATCCACATCCTTTGAACTGTGGTGGATACTCGTCTCATTTGCAACCATACCATGCCTTCTTCTTCATGACATATAACATACTAGTATCTAAAATCGTCAGCCTTGCTCATTTCAATAACTGTATATCATAATCATGTCAGCTTTGTTGTATTGACAGCAGGCTTCGGGTAATTGTAATCATTAATCAGCTGTAATCAATTACAACTTTTCAAGTAATCATTGTAATCATTAATCAGCCAAAAATCTGATTACATTTAATTTAATTTAATCAACTTCTTTTCAAAATACCTTGTAATCCTGATTACTTTTTGATTACATTCTGATTACAATGAAAACAATTCTCAAATTGTGTTTATGGTCAATATATAACTTGTTTAAATAATTTTGTTTACTTTAAGCATTTTAATTAAGATATTATGAAATATGGACATACATGAAATTTGATACAACAAAATTTTATTTTAATGATCCTTTTTAATAAAACTTTTGTGAGGACATCATTACAGTTAGAAATGATTTGTGTAGCAAGTGAAACTCACTGGTATATAAATTTAGTTTCTCATTCCAAAAGCCTTTGACAAAAATATGCTCAAGACTGGCCATATGCATAGTGAGTTCATATCAGCATTTTTGACTAAATATGTGTAGTGAATTAGTAAATTTACATTGTGAAAAGGGGACCAGATATGTAAAGTAAAGTTATTATTTAATAACATATCAAATAAAATCCTTCCTCAAAAAATGCTACAGTTATAACCTTTATTTATTAACACCATTCAAATAGGTTATTTTGAAATTCATTGTAATCAGATGTAATCATTATTACTTGCCAATGTAATCATTAATTCAATTTAATTGTACAATTGACAAAGTAATTGTAATTTAAATCAGTTACATTGAAAGTAATCAGACCCATCTCCAATTGACAGGTCTTTAAAATATGCTTGTTTCATTAAAGATATTCTCATCTAGGTTATTGAAACTATTTCTATTGTTTTTATTTTATGTCTTTGTTTGCAGGGTAAAGGGTTGATGACAACACATTGGCTTATCAGGGAGATTAGAGAAAGTCAGGTCATCCCAAATCATGATCTAACAAAATACGATCCAAAGATCGTTATCACTGATGATGAAAGTGTGGAAATGCAGCCTCAATTTCTCAACATTGCAACGACTTCAAAACCATTAGAAGAAGATCAAAGATCTATATTCAACGGAATCATATAAGCAAACGGCAGCTCTTACTGGAACATTTATGCTTAAATATGTTTTGATTAACTATAAAGAAACCATTTTTTGTTATCATAGAAACTCAAATAGTGTTTAAGCAGTGGTTTTAGGATTTTCATACTTTCAGTATGTGTACAGATGTATAGACGAATGTTATTTATTTGTCTACATAATTATGCATCCCTTTCCTAACCGGTTAGGTTCATTGTGAACAATTCTTTTGAAATTATCTATTTATAGAAAAGCTATTCCTTTTTTATTTAAAGATAGTCAATATGATAAGTACCAAATGTCAAGAGTCTGTCTAACTCTTCCACCAGATATGATATAATCCTGTATTTCGTTGATGTGTTTGCCTTTGTTTTAATCTTCAGTGTTAAATGCCCACTAGCTTTGGTGTATGAAACTTTGAAAAGACAAAAAACTATTGTGTAACTGAACTAACATTCCTGAAATATAATCGGAGCACCAGCTAATGTTTGCTTTAAATTGCTTTTCAACTTTACAGTTATAACTTACAGCGTGGTCTATAATACCAAGTATAAACAAATAATATTTTCTAGTCAAATCAAGATGGTGTATCCAATCTTATTTTTTTAGACCATTCTTGGTCATATAGCTCTTCAACTGTTTCGGTTCCCATACATTCTTGTTTTTTCAAATATTCGGCTTTGAGCATTCCTGATGAAGGTAAATCCAGAAAAGAGATTTGGACGCATGAAATTTATAACATGTTGTTTTCATTTCTTATGTTCTACTTTTTAATTCCATGATGTTGTGTGTCCTATAGAATTTGACATCCATCCACTGAACACTTCAATTATTTTCAAAGACATTTTTTCAATTGTTGTGATAAAAAGGGCATGCTCAGATAGATGGACATCCTATTGAAGAGCAAACAATAGTTTATCACATTACTTATATCACTAACAGGCCAAAAAAGAAGCAAAGTTAACAGTTAAATGTGTTTATTATGATTAACAAATTATAAACAAACCATCATTAATAACAAGATAACAAAAAACTGCATCATTATCACAATATTGTATAGTTATTAAAGAGTGTTTTATAGCACTTATTTTGTAAAATTTGTAAATTTTTAAGTTCAGAAGTTTTAATTTTTTAAGAACAAGTCTAGAATTTTGAATCTAAATTAAGGATTTTTAATTGAATATGATAAATTATGGTGGTGAAAGTCAATATTTGAGCATAATTTGATTTGAAATGTAATATCATACATATAAATATCATATATATATTATCAACTTCACTAAAATATAGGTAATGTTGTCTTATATGTCTCAAGAAATTTTGTTTGTTGTCTTGAACTAAGTGAAAACAAAGACTATAATAAGTGAGTACGCACTTTTATAAATAATTGATATTCTGGATATTTTTATTCTATGTGATTTCTAGAACAAAAATTATTATTTAGATATAAAGTGTTATTTATAAGTAAAAGTCTTTCACTTCAATATTAGAGTGTTGTTTAATTGTAGCTAAGACATATCCTTAAAAAAATTATTCATATAAATCATATTCATAATCACATTGAAGAATATATTTAAAATTATGAATTCACATGGTTTTTTTTTATCAATAAATACTATACTAGAAATAAACGATATTCTTTTCATATCAACAACTTAAATAACTTAAGAGAAATTAACAACCAATATAAAATCCTTGTGTCCTGCACAAAAATAAAATCAACACTTTTTATGCAGCTTTAGTTTCTGAAAAAAGATTTTCCATCCAAATTTTATTCTATTCAATGTAGATTTCAAAGTAACAATTATCATAGCATTATAGCCTAATTTTTGCCTTTTTACATTTGTAGTACATCCCTCCAGACATTCAGTCATTTTTTTCTTCGTAGAAAAATGATACATTTCTTAATAGTTGTGTTACGTTCGTGCGGACATCAGCTGATTCAATGTGATTGGTGGAAATAAAACACTAGAGACACGTGAAATCTGAGTCAGTTCCTTTGGTAACTTTAGCTTCTCTGGAAATGCTTTCTTAATTTCTACTCTCGGAAGTGATGAATTCATTTTATGGCTTCCCCGAGTTTTCTGAAGAAAACAAAAAATAACTGGTTAAAGATACAAACTATACAGGCATCTGAGAATTATTCAGAAAAATAAGTTCACAAAGGACAAAAACTGTACTATAAATTCCAACTTGCAACTATCAACTATCAACATCACTTTAAAAAGAAATAAAATTGTCTTGAGGATGCAACATTTATTGAGCGAAAGAAATGCATATTGCGGTTGTAATGTCTTCACTGTAAAAATATATATTAAATTTTTTTATAAAATTAGTGCATCATAGCGAGTCTATGTAAAGTCTATGTAGAGCCATGCATAAATAAAGAGCAGTGCTTAGCTCAAGTCTGGTTATATCGTTTACTTTGTAAGTCTATTCCTTCTGTTAACATAACGTTGACTTTAAATGAATAGACTTAAGGATGTACTTAGGTCAGGTTTATGAATTTTTGTCAAATGTTCGGACTCCTTGGGTTTTTCCTACGATACAGGGTAAAATATTTTGCCCAATATCACCCACTTTTTTTCATAGGAGACTGCAACAGCTCATAAAAAGGTCATTACTAAAATTTAAGCAGATTCTAGATTTTTTTCTTACGATTTGAGATCCAAATAATGACAATGCTAAATATAAGGTAAAAGTCATGATCAGAGTCAGCCTATTCCCGCCATTTAATAAAAAAATGAATATCTCAAAAAGGAGTTCCATAACCTATCAATAATTTTAGCTTATTTTGTTCCTTAACTAATGCTCTTCTGACTTATAGTATCAATTTTAAATTCTAGATTTTTTTAATTTCACCTAACTATATCCTTAATGGAAAAAAAAGTTATCGGCCATCACTGTATAGTCAAATATGCCTAAATGGGCACTTACAATTACCCATACTGCAATTCACTGTCCAAAATACACTGTCAATGTAACTCTTCCATAAATACAGCTTTTGAAATAGAAATCATTTTAAATGGCACCATGTAACTTTTTTATCCCTTGCGTGTCTTTGTATAAAGATTTATCTTCAATACGGCTAAGTTGGCTGGAAATAACGATTCCTGGCCTAGCGGTCATAAAACTTTAGAGCATGATTATCATACTCAGACTCAGAAATCAACCAATCAAAATACTGGATTTGGTGTTTCTAGCACAAATTTTGTACTCCGAGTACTGAATAAGGTTTTATGACCGAGGGCCCTGGTGTTTTGATAAAAAGTAGTGTTTAATAACATGCAGTATAATTTGCATGCATTTTGATTTCCAGGTGAGCTAAAGAGTCCTTGTATGAATTAGGAATATAAAGAAAATAAAACACAAGAGGTACATCTGTGCCTGTATTGCTCATCTGGTTAATAACCAGTTTGCTAATGAAGACTTAGTATGCACATACTAGTTATGCTTTCTGTTGCTGATAATTTTTGAAATGTACATGTTAAACTAGCTCTTATAGTTTTTTAGAAAACAGTCAAACCTATAAACAAGAGGCTCTCAAGAGCCTGAATCGCTCACCTGTATTTCAGAGGAGAAGATTTTTAAATGTTAGCAAACTTGATGAACAAATTGTGTAAAATTGTCTTTAAAGGGCAATAACTCCTTAATTGGTCAATTGACAATTTTGGTCATATTCACTTTTTTGTAGATCTTACTTTGCTGAACATTATTGCTACTTACAGTTTATATATATCTATAATAATATTCAAAATAATAACAAAAAACTGCAAAATTTTGTTAAAACTACCAATTCAGTGGCAGCAACCCAACAATGGGTTGTTCGATTCGTCTGATAGTTTCAGGGCCAATAGATCTTGACCAATTAAACAATTTTACCCCATGTCACATTTGCTCTAAAAGATTTAGTTTTTGAGATATAAGCCGAAAACTGCATTTGACCCTTATGTTCTATTTTTAGCCATGGCGGCCATGTTTGTCGATGGATACAAACTTCGGATACAATTTATAAACAAGATAGCCTAAGGAACATTTAGTTAAAAGTTTGAAGGTAATTGGCCCAATAGTTTCAGAGGAGAAGATTTTTAAATGTTAGCAAACTTGATGAACAAATTGTGTAAAATTGTCTTTAAAGGGCAATAACTCCTTAAGGGGTCAATTGACAATTATGGTCATATTTACTTTTTTGTAGATCTTACTTTGCTGAACATTATTGCTGCTTACAGTTTATATATATCTATAATAATATTCAAAATAATAACAAAAAACTGCAAAATTTTGTTAAAACTACCAATTCGGTGGCAGCAACCCAACAATGGGTTGTTCGATTCATCTGAAAATAATTTCAGAGCTGATAGATCTTGACCAATTGAACAATTTGACCCCATGTCAGATTTGCTCTAAAAGCTTTAGTTTTTGAGATATAAGCCAAAAACTGCATTTGACCCCTATGTTCTATTTTTAGCCATGGCGGCCATGTTTGTTGATGGATCAAAACTTCGGATACAATTTATAAACAAGAAATGATTGTAACAGGATGCTGTTACGAAGTCTCCCAAACGAAGCTCCCATAATTCATTATTCCCAGGGTCGCCTGACATTGGACAAAGTCCTGTGAAAATTGGTTTGGTCCAGTAAAGTTATATGTATTAGTGATGCCTGGGGACTAACACTATATATCATTCAAATCATCTTGGCATGACAAACCAGAATATATATGGTTTAGGGGTGGGGATCTCGACCATTTACAAGATACAAGAACATTGGGGGTGGGGGAACCCCTGGGGACTGACCCTAAACGTCATTCAAATGTTCGAGACATGATGAACAGGAATATATATGGTTTAGGGGTGGGGATCACAACGATTTACAAGATATTAGAACACTGGGGGTGGGGGGAACCCCTGGGGACTGACCGTATACGTCATTCAAATGTTCCAGACATGATTAACAGGAATATATATGGTTTATGGGTGGGGATCTTGACCATTTACTAGATATTAGAACTTTCTCAAATGACAGGGGGTCGGGATGACCCCTGGGGACTATCCCTGTATATCATTCAAACCATCTTGGTATGACAAACCAGAATATATATGGTTTAGGGGTGGGGATCTTTACCATTTACAAGATATTAGAACTTTCTTAAATAGCAGGGGGTGGGGTGAGCCCTAGATGCTAACCATGTATATCAATCAAACCATCTTCGCATGACAAACCAGAATATATATGGTTTAGGGGTGGGGATCTTGACCACTTACAAGATATTAGAACTTTCTTCAATGGCAGGGGGTGGGGTGACCCCTGGGGACTACCCCTGAATTTCATTTGATGTGCTTTATCATGACAAACCAGAATGTGTATGGTTTAGGGGTGGGGATCTCTACCATTTACAAGATATTAGAACTTTCTCAAATGGTAGGGGGTGGGGGTGACCCCCTGGGGACTAACCCTGTATATCATTCAAACCATCTTCGCATGACAAACCAGAATATATATGGTTTAGGGGTGGGGATCTTGACCACTTACCAGATATTAGAACTTTCTTAAATGGCAGGGGGTGGGGGTGACCCCTGGGGACTAACCCTGTATTTCATTTGATGTGCTTTATCATGACAAACCAGAATATATATGGTTTAGGGGTGGGGATCTCTACCATTTACAAGATATTAGAACTTTCTCAAATGGAAGGGGGTTGGGATGACCCCTGGGGACTAACCCTGTATATCATTCAAACCATCTTAGCATGACAAACCAGAATATATATGGTTTAGGGGTGGGGATCTTGACCACTTACAAGATATTAGAACTTTCTTAAATGGCAGGGGGTGGGGGTGACCCCTGGGGACTAACCCTGTATTTCATTTGATGTGCTATATCATGACAAACCAGAATATATATGGTTTAGGGGTGGGGATCTCGACCATTTACAAGATATTAGAACTTTCTGAAATGGCAGGGGGTCGGGATGACCCCTGGGGACTAATCCTGTATATCATTCAAACCATCTTAGCATGACAAACCAGAATATATATGGTTTAGGGGTGGGGATCTTGACCACTTACAAGTTATTAGAACTTTCTTAAATGGCAGGGAGTGGGGGTGACCCCTGGGGACTAACCCTGTATTTTATTTAATGTGCTTTATCATTTAGAACATTTTCAATTAAAAAGATTGTGTCTATCACAAACGGTTTTCAATTTATAATCATTTGAAAATTTTAAAAAATAAAATCCCATAGGGTTCTATAGTAAAACCCTCCTTTCTTTTTGCCCCTCAAAGTACCCCTTTATAAACCCTATTGCACAAACAAAACCCTAATTGCACCACTTGACATGTTAGTCTAACATATTGTGAAACCCTAAGTTAATCTGTCAAGCGGTTTTGGAGAACGGGTGCGGACAAGTTCAAATTTAAAAGTGGCGGAAGAAGAAGAAGAATAATAATAATAATAAGAACTGAGCAAAACCAATAAGTCTCTCCAAACTTCGTTTGGGAGACTTAACTAGATACCCTAAGTAACATTTAGTTAGGTTGTGAAGGTATTTGGCCCAGTAGTTTCAGAGGAGAAGATTTTTGAAATAGTTTACGACGACGACGACGGACGCCAAGTGATGGCATAAGCTCACATGGGGCCCTTTGGGCCCCGGTGAGCTAAAAATAGTAAAATCAACATTTCAAAGGCAATAGCTCCAAAACATGTGCTCATTCAAAGATGCCTACATGCTGTATGTTGCATTCCTAAAATTCTACTTTGTTTGAAATAAACAAGATAACATTTTCTTCAGATCCAATTTGTTTTCAAAAGTGAAAACAATCAATTTGAATTTTAAAGGAACATCATTAAAACATACATTGGACATCTAAATTCCAACTATGGGTGGTTGTTTTTGTACAGTGAAACTGTAAGAGAAATTCTACAATTGACCCTATAGACTGTTACCTATTTCCAAGTACCTTCCTGGGGTACAATGTATGTTTAAATAGAACAGCCCCAACCTGTATGATAAAAATTTGGTGCGTTTCCAATTTTGAGAATGTTTAATTGTCATGAAAGTATTATTTCCTATACAAAATGTATTATACTTTTAACAAACTGGTTCCTGGCTTCAATCTTAAGGATGTATTTAGGTGAAATTAAAAAAATCTAGAACTTAAAATTGATGATATAAGTCAGAAAAGCATTATTCAAGGAATAAAATAAGCTAAAAATATTGATAGGCTACGGAGCTCCTTTTCGAGATATTTCATTTTATTTAAATGGCGGGAAAAGGCTTACTCAGACTTTTACCATATATTTGCATTGGTATTATTTGGATCTCAAATCGAAAGAAAAGAAATCTAGAATCTGCTTAAATTTTGGTAAATGACCTTTTAAGATCTATTGAAGTCTTATATGAAAAGAAAAATGGGTGTTATGGGGCAAAATATTTTACCCTGTATCGTAGGAAAAAAACCAAGGAGTCCAAAAATCTGACTCGAATTCCTAAACCTTACCTAAGTACATCCTTAAGTTCTTGATTGTCAATAGTGAAAGTTACTTAATTTTAATTTTGAAGCATTGTGCGAGATATACTTTTTAAACATACTTTATAAAATAAAAAGATGTGGTATGATTGTCAATGAGACAACTATCCACCAGAGACCAAATGATCTAGATGGTAGCAACTATATGTTGCTGTACGCCTTCAACAATGAACAAAACACTTCACCTATTAAAGAGAGGCACATCATTTCTTGGTGAACCATTATCTGATGAGATATAAAAACAAAATAGCTGAGTTGATATTACATTCATACATGTAAAACCAATCCACCTTTCTATGGGGTGTTATGTTTAAATTGAATAGCCCTTAATATGGTAATACATTTTTTCTCTTGTTTATTTCATTTCAAAGTTAGACATCTTTTTCCAATGCTACTCACGTTTATGAATTATGTAGAATTTCCACATTCCTCAAATATCTAGAAATCTTCAATATTAAAGTATATATCATCTTTGAAACATTACTGTCAAGTCTGGTAATTTTGATCATTTGGAAAGTGTGCAATTTCATAAACCCAATGTCAAATTCAATGCTGCATGTGATGGACAAAATGACCAGTCATTACAGCATGTACATTAATGTAGTTGAGAGGAATTACATGTGTCTAGATAAGTGTGACTAAAATGAACTTTTAAATGTACTGATGAGAGGCCAAAAGAGAGAACTGGACAGTCATACTGATGAGAGGCCGAAAAAAAGTACTGAACAGTCAAAATACTGTTAATACAGAAATTATTGCATGCATTTATTATTGCGATTGTTTATGAATGGACACAAATGTGAGATTAATTATTGTGACTTCAGGAGATGCTATGGAAATATAAAATGTGAGTTTTTAATTTTGCGAAATATATACTATCATTATTTTTTCAATAATAAAATTTCTCCATAATTTCTGAATTAACAGTATGAAACATGTGAAACTGACTGTTACAAGTTGAAAAAAATCTAATTACATTTAAACTCGCATTCAATGCTATCTATGGCATTAAAAATACAATCTTTTCAAGGGCACTTTTGCACACTTACACTGTCAATGTATATTTGTTCCGCCTAACAGAAGTTCCACTGGAAACTTTGTTATAAACAATGTCATAATATCTGTTCCTGTTGGAACAAATATTCTATACCATTTATTCCGTTAGGAACATTTACTGTAATATTTATTCCAGTGGAAATAATATTCCAGAATATTGTTTCCATTTGGAACTTATAATTATATTATGAAGGAACTTCTATTCCGTGACAACACGCTTATATTCAATAAACTTACTGATGTGTAATTTTGCATCTTTTTCTTCACTAATGTATAATATTTGCAGTATCTTTCATGTTCTTTCTTTATATAAGGTATACTGATCCGAGATTCCTTTGCAGGGGGTGGTGGGATGGGATAATCCCATTTATAGTCAGGAGTATAGATTCCTCCAGGAAGGTGAGGGAAGTCAGTCATCTCAGAAGTATCAGTCCTGTGAATAATAGTAAAATACATTTATTAATTGCAGCAAATAACTAAGTACATTCATTTTCCAGTTAAATTTTGAAGGAAATTTACATGTGATATCACCAATGTTCTCAAAAACTGGTTGGATCAGTCCAGACCACCAAAAATCGGGCAAGTCTATCAGTATCAAATGTAGACTTTGTCCTGAATGTAAATTATTTTTTTTTTTTTTGCTCGACATTGCTTATATTTCTACCTACTTTAACAGTACAAAATAAACTTAAGACCTGCCTTTAATGAAAGCATTTTGTCCAATTCTAGTACAGATCTATAGTGAAGTTATCCAGTTGCAATTTTTCGCAATTATAAAACTTTGCAAAAATTTCTGAATTTATATTATTGTCAATGCATCCCTAGTTACCAATAACAATAATAACATATCTTTCATTCTATAAATACCTTTCAGATCTTCCATACTTTTCTATAATAGCAGGGAGATGTCTTTTGGATTGAACTGACCGTACAGTGCTGCCACCTAGTTCAGAGGTTGCATCAGACATGCCAGACATGGCAGAATATCTCTCAGGATAAGGGTTATGTGACACAGGTGCTGGAATAGCTGTGGTCCATTGCATTTGTAAAATACCAAATTTGGATTGTCCCTTGTCCCTAGAAAGGAAAGAATCATTTTATATTCTCTGGTAATCAAAACACAACATAAACATTTTAGTCCAAATTACCCAAAGTTAGTATTTTAATACCAATGTTTTAAATAAACCTATGGCTTTTCAGATTACCAAACCAATCAACTTCAAACTATTCTATTGTAAATTTTTACTTAAAAAATAAATGGAGAATGTGTCCATGGGACACAGATGATGCCCCTGCTTGCACATTACATTATAAAGGGGCATATCTTGAGAAGGGTAAAAGTGACGCAACCTAAATTGGAACTTGATCTGTGTTTTGTGTCAATAAGCATTGTGTATAAGTTTCATAGCATTTGGTTCAGACAAACTAAAGTTAAAGAACAGAAACCAATTCTGGGACATACACACGGATGGACAAGGGTAACACTAATTGCCTCCTCAGGTGACAGCATAAAAAATAATCTGCGTTTGATCTTGTTAATCAGATATCAATATGCAACATGAATTTCCAACCATAAAAAATGAAAATAGTGAAGTAGGAATTAATCTGGCACAGCAAGAAAAGTTACAGTGATATAAAAAGAAAGCTAAAACACTTTCAGCTGAGTTTACAAATTTTTAACACTGCTGCCATATTTGCTATGATATGGCAAGTTCCAAATATTTGTTATAAAGGAAAACTCCAAAATAATTTGGATAAAAAATGATAGGATATGCACAATAAAATAAGGCATATGAAAGATTCTCTGAATGAGTCATTGAAATGCAATTTTTGTTTAGAAGCAGTGGATAAAAAGTGTGGATAGACAAACAAAAGGCCATAGAGATCTGCTTTAGTGAACAACTTGGGGCTATTGACTTTGGAAAGTAACATAAACCTTAAAAACAAATAAACATGTTCAAATTGATACATACTCATCCTTTGTATGAACACCTAGTTTCCCTGGTATAGATTCTATCATGTGATGTCTTTCTTCCGCTGGTGTTATAGAACCCTGAAAAAAAAAGACAACATCTATTAGCATGTTTATCTATTGTCTTAAAAATTTATATATCAAATAAAATTAGTAGATTTGGCTAACTAAGTCCTTATAATTGAATAAAGTAACATATTTCTAGTTGAAAATTGTTTTAACGTTCATTAAGCTCTAATTAATAAACTGTTGACACAGAGATATGTCTCGCCTGTCAGCATAAAATTCAGAAAAAGACAATCTGAATGGACAGCAACATTGCTAATTAATTCAAACTCGCTGGACCAACTAGTGGGTAGGGCCTCGAAATAGTTGACAAAATGAGATGTACAGACAGCAATGTAACTTTATAGAAAATATTGTCTATTGTAAGTAGTGACCCATCAAACTAATTTAATCAGAAAACTTGACATTGAAAATTGCTTATTGATTGAAAGTCACTGGACCATGACCTAGGGGGCAGTGCCTTGAAATAGTCATCAAATTATATGTACTGATAGTAATGCAACTCCACACAAAATATCATTGATCTATCACAAGTAATTCCTATCAATCTAACTTAAGCAGAAAACTTAACATTTAAAATTGCTAATTAATTCAAAGTCACTGGACCATGGCCTAGGGGGCAGGGCCATAAAATTTTTGTCAAACTGATATGAACTAAAAGTAATGCAACTTCATACAAAATATCATTGATCTATCAGAAGTAGTTCCTATCAAACTAACTTAAGCAGAAAACTTAACAATTGTTGACACCGTCATCTCAGCCGTCGCTGGAAAAGCAATCCCTATGTCTCGCTTTCCTCAACTTTCTTTACAGGCGAGACAAAAATTGTTTGCTATCCCCTTTTTGTGGTTAATGTAAGATAACTCTGGTTAATTTTCCCGTTAATTTTCCAAACATTTTATCACTATGGGGAGATAATATAATTCGGTTTTCACATATAGTCTTTTTCAAAAAAGTTCAAATGCTTTATGTAGGTTCCAATCATAATTTCTCACTAAAGCATTTGACATATTTTTGAAGTTTCTGGAATAAAGTGGTGGTTATGTTGTTCTGTTTTTGTGTATGTGAGTATGTGTATCTTGTGTGTGTGTGTGTGTTTGTGTTGGTGTTGGTGTTGGGTTGGGGGGGGTTACACAGCATGCATGTGTATGTCTAATGCTTTTACAAGTAGCAGGATCAATGCTGTTGGAGGTTAGACATTGCGGACAACTCAAAACAGTGTATTCTTGACAACAGAATGCTATTTTCATAATGTTACATAATTACCATGATACGGCTTTCAAAGTATACAATTCCAGGATTAGTTTGAGTAGATGCACTATCTAAAGTAACTTGATATGTAGCTAAATAACATTTATAAAACTATGAAAGGTTCTTTATATTGATATATAATAATTTTAAACGTTCCAAAACAAATAAATAATTATAGATATACATAATTTTCTTTAATAAACCAATGATAAATAGTAAGATCTGTTAAATTATAAATTTTGTTATGATTTAAAATTAAATCAAAAAACTATACTTAAAGATGAAATTCTGAACCTGTTCAAGGGAGACAATAAATGCATTATTTTCATTTACCTGTGTTTAAAGTTATTGCAAATGGATGGTATTTTTGTTCGAGCATATTGTTTTTCTTTAATTGTTTAACATTTCTTACCGATATAACATGTTACTTTTACTATTCTTCCCTTAGTTTATTTATTTTGTATTCAAAATTATTTATTTGGTAAAAATATTTCCTTTCTCTATTGGTACTGTACAGGTATACCTAACAACAAAATTATTTTCATTTACCTGTGTTCAAAGTTATTGCAAATGGATGGTATTTTTGTTCGAGCATATTGTTTTTCTTTAATTGTTTAACATTTCTTACTGATATAACATGTTACTTTTATTATTCTTCCCTTAGTTTATTTATTTTGTATTTACATTGTGTCATAGGTCAAATTTATTTGTTCAGTGTATGTTCAATGGTGTTAATATGTCCTTTGATTGAGTTAAGCTATTTCAGTTGATATTTTATAGTGTGTCTTTCTATGTTGTGATGTTACACTATTGTTTCAGAAAAAGGGTGAAGGTTTGGTACCATTAAAACGTTTAAACCCGCTGCATTTGTTTGCACCTGTCCTAAGTCAGGAATCTGATGTTCAGTAGTTGTCGTTTGTTGATGTGGTTCATAAGTGTTTCTGGTTTTTTATATAGATTAGACCGTTGGTTTTCCCGTTTGAATGGTTTTACACTAGTAATTTTTTGGGGCCCTTTCTAGCTTACTGTTTGGTGTGAGCCAAGGCTCCGTGTTGAAGACCGTACTGTGACCTATAATGGTTTACTTTTATAAATTTTGACTTGGATAGAGAGTCGTCTCATTGGCACTCATACCACATCTTCTTATATCTATTGATTCGATAGACTTTTTGGAATTGAAACATAGTACAAAGGGATTTCACTCTTGCATACAAATGACACATCAAATGAATTAATTAACACAACATTCATGCTCCAGCTTCAATGAAGATTCTAAATTATCAATATAACAAACAGTTGTTTATCTATAGGATAGTGACTGCTAACAAATGCTAACCCACATCAAAGTATACTTTTTTGAATTTTTTTTAAACCTACTCAGAAAAATGCACGAACTACTTGATTTTCATTGCTCATAATTAACATGTTTACACGTTAATATAATATAGTCATTAAACATTATTTGCCTCTAACAGTACAAGACACTATACAGATCGTATACTTGCATCAACTTACCCAAATAAAGATTTGATTAAAGCCTGAACATTTTGACATTGTTTTTTTTTTTTATCCGTTTTGGTTTTTTAATATTATCACAACTTCCTGTTAAGATTTGACTAAATACCCATATCTCGATATCGTCAGGTAAACACGCTACATTTATAGCAAAATTAAAAATAGCTCCAAAAATTTTCTTTCAAATCTCAAAACCAATATTTATATAACCTTCCTGCTTTTTTATCTATCATTTCTATTTCACAAAATGGCACCTGCATGTGTCTTGTTACAAATTAGGGGACAACTAACTTTAATCTTTCCTTCTTTTTTAAACTGTAAAAGTCATACATCTTTAATTTTTAGCCAAATTATACTTTTCATAAAAAAATATTTATTCTAAGATAATCAACTTTTGGTTGGCTTGTACTCAAGACTGTTCCATAATATCATAAATGGCACCCGTGGAATCTCAACTATGGGCAGGTGTCAAGTGCAGTGAAAATTAAAATGAAATTCTTAATTTGCCTCTACATAAAACCTGCAGCATAAAAATTAAAAATTTTACATCAAGCATAAAGGCTAAAATGTTAAACTCTACCTACAGTGTTTGGAACTCAAAAGGGATAAATATACTGTTACTAAGAAAGCCATTGGTTGCTTCATAATTTCAAGAATTCATACCTTGTGCCTACCCACTTTGACTGACTTCAGAAGTCTTAACCCTGCCTCACCAGGCAACATGGGCAGGCCTTCACTGATGTAGTTGACAACCAGAGCAGATCCCGGTTTCATCTTGCCTTCATTGAATTCTCTATTGACCATTTCCATTCTCTTTCTCTCTAATGCTGTGGGGGTCTGGAAAAACTTCATCCAATCTGGTTCTATAAAAATCACAAACACAAAAAAATAAGAATATAAAGTTTGCTATATTCAAAAATTTGTTATTTCAATGTTCAATCCCCTGATTTCTGCATCAAAACTCTTCACCAACTCTGTCATAAAAGAACACTTCAAAATATTTTTTTTTAAATTCACAAGAGTTTGTAAACATCCTCATTCTTAATATGGTTGCATGTGTCAACATTAAGAGTGTCATTGTAAGTTTTTTTTTTTAAACTGTGACATTATAATATAAGCTTTAAAATTTCAATCATGGGGCCCAACTGACAAAATGTGAAAAATTTGTATTGACCACAGGGGTTTATCTGGGTATTTTGGGAAAAAGGACCCTGATCAGTTTTGGGAATTTTTTAACGTGATTTTCAATGAAATTGGGAAAAACAACCAATATACCAGATGTTAGTTTTACTGTGTTTAGTTCATTAAAAATTTTCTTTTTTGGTGAAAATAAAGTAAGTAACTATATGAATGCTATTAGTAATTCAAGTTTCTGTTCCTTTTTGTTTTTTCAATTTAACAATAAGACATTCAAGTTTATTTCAGTATCAAAACAATGAGTTCTTAAAGCACACATGTGATACATATTTACCCCCCCTTTTTTTTTATATCAAAGACAGTAACACTAAACATGGTTAATATAATAATAATTTTTTTTTTTAAATCTTCCAGATTTTTACTGGCCCTTCAAAATTTAGAAGAAATTACCTCTTAGATCTTTAGTTATTTGTTTTCCTCATAAAAACATCTAATATCAACAATTTTAAGTGATAAAGAAAAGTATTGTCACATTTTATTTGATTTTGAATTTGTGAACTAAAATAATTTTGAGTTTCTGAATAAAATATTTCCTGTTTCTTTCTTTTTTTTTCATATAACTTTTAGTTTTCAATTTTAATGTTGCTATTTCATAGTTGTCAAAAACTGGATTTTTTTTATTAATTTATTTAGTGAATTTGATCGGCAAACCCGGAATTAGCCTTATCCGTTTCCGGAATCTGATCCAGTTTTGAAATTTTTCTTCAACTTCCTGTTTATGGCAGCCATTGATTGTCAATGTTGTTTTGTCAGTCAAATATGTTTTTACTCAGATTTACACATTACTTGTTGTCGATTTTAGGCCTAAAGCTAGCAGTTGAACAAAATAAACATCTCTGTAATGAATAATAAAGATGAAAATGAATTTTGTGATCGTTTGGGAATTTTGCTCCCAAAATTTGGAAAAAAGTAGGGTTTTTGCCATTGGGAATGGGTCGGAATACCGGACCCTGTGGAATGCTAGAAAAATCCATGGACCATATGGGAATATTCTGAAAAAAGTTAAGGGCCTAGTCAAATTTTCAGTAGCATTGGCAACTGGGCCCCTGTAAAGCTTATTCCCTGTAATATAAGGTCTCCGTAAAGGAAAATTAAATCAGTGATGTTCTTTATATGGCATTATCCTAAAACCTCCTCACTAAATTTGCATTTCTCAAATCTTTATTTCAAAGTGTGATATTTTGCACTCTTCTTTTGTTTGTTGTATACTTGTCTTTAGATGATGTGGTAAGTTTGTCAATAAGACATTAATCATGTTAATCTAAGGACAAGGATTTTTACAACTAGAGTTTTTGGGTTACTAGTAGTATCCCTTATTGGCCTTGAAATGACGAACACAAATATAATTTGTAAACAAAAAATCTCCAAACATGTTACTATATTAAGTAATTGACCAATTGTGTTGTCTTTAAGTGTAGAAGACCAAAGAAGATGTAAAAACTATGAAGTTATTAAATGTTTGCAAAGAATTTCATTGGATCAAATTCTGGATTTTTCAATCTGAAAAGCTGTATATATATATATATAAAGGGTTCTTTAGGCTTTGGTTTATTATGAAAAATTATTTATGGTACCTTGAAAATTGAACCACATATTTGTAAATGTCTCAGCTTCATAATGAGCCATCATACATATCCAAGTTAATGATATGGACAAATATCCAAGTTAATGATAAGGACAAATATCCAAGTAAATGATATGGACAAATATCCAAGTAAATGATATGGACAAATATCCAAGTAAATGATACACACAAATATCCAAGTAAATGATATGGACAAATATCCAAGTAAATGATACGGACAAATATCCAAGTAAATGATACGGACAAATATCCAAGTAAATGATATGGACAAATATCCAAGTAAATGATACAGACAAATATCCAAGTAAATGATATGGACAAATATCCAAGTAAATGATACGGACAAATATCCAAGTAAATGATACGAACAAATATCCAAGTAAATGATATGGACAAATATCCAAGTAAATGATATGGACAAATATTCAAGTTAATGATATGGACAAAGCAACTAAAGAAAATGTTACTATTACTACCTACCGGAAATAAAAAGCACATATGGACCAGATTTTAAAAGTCACTTGCATATTTCTGACATGATTTATTCTCTATTAAAATAAAAAGTCTGTAAGGAATCTCTATAGTGTCTCGTAAGTCTTTATAGGCTGGGTATTGATCTTTGTTTTAACTGTTTTGTGTATTGAACATGTATATTTACTTGTAAGATCAATATGTGACTCTTTTATAAAATAATCATTATCTTATCTTATCTATACCAGAGTGTATGTGCATAAAACGGAGTGCAATAAAATGGTCCAAATGCTTGAATTTCACAATAAATCTTTTAAACCAACCTTGTTCTCTTGGTGTTGACTTTGCAGAAGCTCCTCCAATAGTACTGTTAGACTTGACAGGTGAAAGGTTATGTTTTCTGTGGGACTCCACTCTTGGCCTATAAGATGCAGCTGGAATACATAAATTGGCATAATTTGTAATCATAAAATTCCTGAGTTAATAAATTCTTATTTTTCCAGTTTTTTTAATCATCTGACAAGTAAACAAGAATATTTCTCCATAGTATACCATGCCACATTTGTACCGTCACATTTCTGTGTTCAGTGAAGTGCAAAATATTGGTTAAAACCTTAATTATGCATACATTTTTAAAAGTTCACATCATTATGAATACGTAAACTAATGAAAAAGAACAAGGAATTAAATTATATATGATGCATCTACTTGAAAATGGATCTATTACCACTTCATGACAAATCGGCAATTCCAATGTTTTCAATAAATCCTTTAAAAAAAAAAAGGTCGTCAAATGTCAGCACATTCTCAGACTAAAACCAGTTATCTACCTTAAATTTAGAAAAAAAATTGAAAAAATCAAAATCAAAGTGTGATATTGTTTAAAATCCTGATCCTCAATACCCTGTACAAAACTGAACTGAAGGGCACACAATACAGAAAAGTTCTTGCATTGATTTTTCCTTAAAATTATGAAACAAAGTCAATTTTGATATGCACTATCAAATTAAACAAAGAAAATTATACCTCCTTCATGAATTACTTTTTAGAGGTATTTGATTTTGAAATTTGCATGTTTCATGTTAAAACACAAACTAGAGGCTCTCAAGAGCCTGTGTCGCTCACCTGTATTTACTGATGATTTGGAAATTATGTAAAATAAGGTTAAAATCATAATTAATAGTATTAGATATTAGATATTATAATAATATCTAAAGATAATAACAAAATACTGCAAAATTTTTGTAAAATTACTAACTCAGGGGCAGCAACCCAACAATGGGTTGTCGGATTCGTCTGAAAATTTCAGGGCAGATAAATCTAAATCTGATGAACATTTTTGCCACCTGTCAGATTTGCTCTAAATGCTTTAGTTTCAGAGATATAAACCAAAAACTGCATTTTACCCCTATGTTCTATTTTTAACCAAGTCGGCCATGATGGTTGGAAGGCAGGGTCATCGGACAAATTTTTTAAACTAGATACCCTAATAATTAGTATGGCCAAGTATGGTTAAATTTGTCTCAGTAGTTTCAGAGAAGAAGATTTTTGTAAAAGATTACAAAAATTTACGAAAAATTGTTAAAAATTGACTATTAAGGGCAATAACTCCTAAAGGGTCGACTGACAATTTTGGTCATGACAACTTATTTGTAGATCTTACTTTGCTGAACATTATTGCTGTTTACAGTTTATCTCTATCTATAATAGTATTCAAGATAATAACCAAAAACTGCAAAATTTCCTTAAAATTACCAATTCAGGGGCAGCAACTCAACAACAGGTTGTCAGATTTGTCTGAAAATTACAGGGCAGATAGAACTTGACCTGATAATCAGTTTTACCCTATGTCAGATTTACTCTAAATGCTTTGGTTTCAGAGATATAAGCCAAAATCTACATTTTACCCCTATGTTCTATTTTTAGCCATGGTGGCCATCTTGGTTGGTTGGCGGGGTCATCGGACACATTTTTTAAACTAGATACCCTAATGATGATTGTGGCCAAGTTTGGTTAAATTTGGCCCAGTGGTTTCAGAGGAGAAGATTTTTGTAAAAAGCTAATGACGACGACGGACGCCAAGTGATGAGAAAAGCTCACTTGGCCCTTTGGGCCAGGTGAGCTAAAAATGTAATTTAAAAAACAGAGATATTTCCCCCCATTTTTTTTTTTAGCAAAGTGTTCTTTAATTTATAGGCCTTTAAGTAAATCCCAAAAATGAAGGGTGAATGCAATCAAATTATTGTGAAATCATACAAATATTGGTCATATTTTTAAAAAAAAATTTCATTACCAATAAAAAATAAGTTGCAATTTCCATACAATATTCTGGAAGCATAAGATAGTAGATTTCAAAAGAATAAAATGGGAGTCCATGATTCATTTAAATTTTTAAAATAGCAGCATTGGGAAAACAATGTGTTAAATTAGGAAGCAATATTATCTGCCCTTGGTACTGCACCGTTTGCCCTCAATTTGAAACAATATTCTGATCTTTCATTTCATCAATAGACTATTCATTCAATACATCGCAGTTAATGGTAAATTTGCTCTTTTCTTTGAAAGCATACCTCTAGCTACAATCTTCTCTTTTGACAGGAATGGACTGGCTTTCTGAGATTTGTAGCTGTAAGTATCAGACATATCACGTCCAATTCCTGAGTCCTGGATACTAATAATACCTGAGTCATTAGTGCTTATAGTATCACCAACCTACAAAAAATAACACATTGATTAATTAAGTCTATTATATTTTATCAGATCTGATTTAAAAAAATTGAGACTAAAAATACCTGCTTCATTAGATAAAATAGGGAGAGGGAAATGCTTTTGGAAAACATTTTACACCCCACGACCCACAAATTTTATTTTTAGGTCTAACCCTTTCATAAATTTTTCCTGGAATAACCTGATACTAAATGTATCACAAATCCACAAAATTCAAATAAATGAACTAATCAATCAATTGTATATTCTATCCAATCGCCAAATCCTGGACACTAATAATTTTATTTTTAGGTCTAGCCCTTTCATAAATTTTTCCTGGAATAACCTGATACTAAATGTATCACAAATCCACAAAATTCAAATAAATGAACTAATCAATCAATTGTATATTCTATCCAATCGCCAAATCCTGGACACTAATAATTTTGGAGTCATTAGCCCTCAATGTTTCACCACTTGACAAATATCAATGCACTACTTAAATAGGTGTCAAATATATCTCATCTGCTTACAGTCCTATAACTGTCATTGAATGTTGTTAAGTTCTCAATTAAACACATAACTGGGAATGGTGTATAGTGCGATGGGAAATGGGGAAGAGTGTATAGGGTTGACACCTTTGTTATAAGTTATTATTTAAATTAAATTTGTAATTGCATGCTTTCTCTGTATATAAATTGCATTATGGGTAATTTTGAATGGTGCAATATCAAGTATGACTCAATGGTGGAGGAAGGTAAATGATGCATGGTAAGATGGAGTGTAAGGTGTCATGGAAAATTTTGTATGGTGTAATTGGAAGTGTTATATAGTGTAATGGAGAATGTTTTAAATCTATTTTTCAAGTCTGTTTTGTGACCTTACCTGACTATGGCTATCCAATGACCCAATTTGACTATCTGTATCTTCACCAGCACCAAGCTGGGTTTTACTGAATAATTTACTCATGTTCTTATAACCTGAATTGAAACAGAGAGGAATGTTCTAGCTTTCATGTTACAATTAATAGTACTACTAATTCATTTAATTATGTAGACTCCTTTTTATTGGCTAACTATCATGACACATGATACTGCCACTAGCTTTCATAATGTATGAAAACCTATGTGGAAGCATATACATCCATGGAACAGGTGTACTAGAGATTTACTTGTTGAAATGATATATTTAAAGATTTACAATATTTATCAGGTTTAACCACATGTTTGTGTATACTGTACCTTTTCTAAACTCAGGGCTCAAGACCATTTAAGAAGTCAATGTCCAGTGTTCAATTTATGATAATATATCACAAAAATGCAAAGGTAAATTAGTAATCAAAATCTGCATCTGGTGTAATCAATTTAAGTTGGAAAAAATGTATAAACAAGAATGTGTCCATAGTACACTGATGCCCCGCTCGCACTATCATTTTCTATGTTCAGTGGACCTTGAAATTGGGGGTCAAAACTCTAATTTGGCATTAAAATGAGAAAGATCACATCATAGGGAACATGTGTATTAAGTTTCAAGTTGATTGGACTTCAACTTCATCAAAAACTACCTTGACTAAAAACTTTAACCTGAAGCGGGATAGACGGACGGACGAATGAACTAACGGACACACAGACCGAAAAACATAATGCCCATAAATGGGGAAAAAAAATTAACTCAAGATATAAAAAAAAATGGAAACAACACATTATAAATTTCACACGTTTGAAGGACTTTTCTGGATTTACTTTTATCAGGAACACTCAAAGCCAAATATTTGAAATCCAAAGGGATGTATAAGAATCTAAACAGTTGAAAAGCTAAATGACAAAAAAAAAAAATAAAAAAAATAGCCAAATCCATCTAAGGTCAACTTTGCCTGAGGGAGTTCAAACCTTAGTTTCTTTATAATTTCAAAATTTATAAACATGCAGACAATTTTAGAAAGGATTGTTATAAATCATGTCAATACCAAAGTACTGACTACTGAGCTGATGATACCCTCGAATCTCAAACAAAATCAAATAAATGAGATAAATTATTTATCCGTAATGATTCTTTTCATTTGCTTTTCCTAATAATATTCTTAGTAAGTTTATAAAAAAAAGATCAATAAGTATTTTAATTAAATTTTTTACAATGAAAACCATATCACAATTTTCAAGTTTTATTAATTACTGAATTAAAATCAACAACAATAACAAAAAATTGTAATCTGACCTGCATTGAACCTTAATCACACAGTAATACAGAATATGTTAAGTTTTATTCTGAATCAATACAGATCTAGATCTTTTTAACATTAATCCTATCGAAATATTGATTGAACTGTTTGCAGGTTTATGTTATTAATTATCTGGTCTGTCGTAAAATTAAATCAACCTTCACTTTAAGTAAAACTTCCTTCCATATCTATTGGAAATTTCTTGTATTTAATTTGCAATCTATATTTCCTTCACAAATAAATCAATGTATCTATAATTTCAATAAAATTCATATTCACTTAAGAAAATGTCTGTATACTTTTAATATACAAAAGAAAACTGTAGTTTATCAATTTATAAACATGCAGGACATTTTATTTTAATCCAGAAAAGTAATACCATAATATTTTACAAATTATTAATGGCACAGGCAGTCATGTCCAAAAATGGTATCTATGGAGAAAGGTAAACTGATGTTCATACAATTTTACGGAAATTATAGAACGAAACAGTCCTTAACTGGCCTTTGGCCGAAAGTGACATGAATTATTTGTAATACTATACAATATAAAAGTATTCAAACAGGCAAACAGGTTTTACTTTTACAGAAATCCAAATTCATTCTTTTAATCATAATCATTAATGAGACAGCAACCCAACAGAATAAAAAAAGCCAAACAACATCTAGAGCCCACATTTTGAGAACAAGATTGCATTACAAATTTAAAACTAAATCAATGTTATCTACTTTCAAATATAATTTTATCTCAATTACAGGCAGAATGGATACTTTTTCGAGCATACAAAATGGGATGGAATTTAGGGATTTTATCACAAATATCAAGAATTAAATTTCTATCTTTTAAAAAAATCTTTTCAGAATTTGTTTACCAAAATACAATGATCTATAAGTTAAACTGATGTCACCTTATTTTTTCATAATGAAATTAAAAGTTTCAAATCAGTCTTCTTTTTGTGTAAGTGAAAATTACATATGTTTTCATTAATTTCATTTGTATACACTCCACTCTTTAATTTTCTTTCTAAACAAACTTTTTAATCTTTTTTAATCTATTTTCTCACAGTACGCTGTATATTTTAAAGTGACTTTACAAATAAAAAAAAGTTGATTTCTTTCACTTAATTTTGTTGTAGATCTTCACTAACTGTGATCATTTTCGTTCTTTACAGTTTCTCTAGATATGTATTAGTTTTTAAGGTAATGGCCAAAAATATATCATTTAAGGACATTAGCTCCCATGTTTTGCACAGTGAAAAAAAAGTTTGAGGAAACAAAACTATCATACAATCTTCAATTTCCAATAGGTCCTTAAATATGTTTACTTTAACAGAATAAAAAATCGTCAAAGATAAAATAATAATTTGGTCATCATAAGACTAATCAGTTGTGCTCTAACCAAAATATTTTAAAGGCCAAATCAATAAGTTGAAGAGTATTTGAAAATAAAATTTCAAAAGTTTGTGCCAAATACAGCTAATTAAGGCTTTGGGTAAAACTGTCCAAAAATTGAGATTTTTTTCATACAAAAACTAAAATGTGATCCAAAACAAAGTGGGTCTATTTAAGATTTGACTTACTGAATTTTCCATCAGTTTCTCTTTCTTTGTTGTACCTGTTTTTATAATATCTGTATAAACTAGGATCTCTAGGATCAAACCTGTAAAAACACATGAAATATATTAAAGGAGATATAGGGTTAAGTTCAATACACCTAATCGCTATTTATTCCATTCCGGATAAGTTCTAAAATTACACAACTTTTTCATCCAGTTGAAGCTATCTGGGGCCCTGTTTAAACAATGCACCATGCATGATACTTTTTAATGAGATCTGTTTAAAACATCGTAAATACTTCAAACAAAATATTTTTTTACTATAATTTGAGTTTCGAAAAAGTGGATCATAATCTATCAAAGTTTCGTATTGATCGCTTTCTAAATTTTTCCCTCCCTCAGCTCGTTACTGATGACCTTTGTTGTTTACCTGTTCAAGGCCTGGTGACCCAAACAGGAAGTTGTCTAAATGACTGTTTTTTCCGGATTGGACTAAATAGCGATAAGGTGTATGAGACTAAAAGAAACAAAAAAATTACATAAAAGATCATATACATCTATCTCGCAAAAAATCTGCATTTGACTACCTACCAAACTTTTTCAATCATTTTTGCAGAACCACAACAATCATATTGTTTATAAACAGTAAAAGAAATTTTTACAAAAACTCATATAAAGAAAAAAAAGTTTACTAATTGCAAGAAAAGTGAATAAATATCGTAGGAAACAGTGATAGTTACCATGTTTAAACTTTGTGAAAAGAGGTTTTGGAATTTGATATTAAATTATCACAGAGGTCTGTTATTAAATATCACACTGTGGTCTGATATTAGACTTCTACATAGTGAACAAGAAATGATTGTAACAGGATGCTGTTACGAAGTCTCCCAAACGAAGCTCCCATAATTCGTAATTCCCATGGTCGCCTGACATTGAGCAAAGTCGAGTGAAAATTGGTTTGGTCCAGTAAAGTTATATGCATTAGTGATGCCTGGGGACTAACCCTATATATCATTCAAATCATCTTGGCATGACAAACCAGAATATATATGGTTTAGGGGTGGGGATCTCGACAATTTACAAGATATTAGAACTTTCTCAAATGGCAGGGGGTGGGGATGACCCCTGGGGACTAACCCTGTATATCATTCAAACCATCTTATCATGACAAACCAGAATATATATGGTTTAGGGGTGGGGATCTCGACCATTTACAAGATATTAGAACTTTCTCAAATGGCAGGGGGTCGGGATGACCCCTGGGGACTAACCCTGTATATCATTCAAACCATCTTAGCATGACAAACCAGAATATATATGGTTTAGGGGTGGGGATCTCGACCATTTACAAGATATTAGAACTTTCTTAAATGGCATAGGGTGGGGGTGACCCCTGGGGACTAACCCTGTATTTCATTTGATTTGCTTTATCATGACAAACAAGAATATATATGGTTTAGGGGTGGGGATCTCGACCATTTACAAGATATTAGAACTTTTTCAAATGGCAGGGGGTCGGGATGACCCCAGGGGACTAACCCTGTATATCATTCAAACCATCTTAGCATGACAAACAAGAATATATATGGTTTAGGGGTGGGGATCTTGACCACTTACAAGATATTAGAACTTTCTTAAATGGCATAGGGTGGGGTGACCCCTGGGGACTAACCCTGTATTTCATTTGATTTGCTTTATCATGACAAACAAGAATATATATGGTTTAGGGGTGGGGATCTCGACCATTTACAAGATATTAGAACTTTCTCAAATGGCAGGGGGTCGGGATGACCCCTGGGGACTAACTTTGTATATCATTCAAACCATCTTAGCATGACAAACAAGAATATATATGGTTTAGGGGTGGGGATCTTGACCACTTACAAGATATTAGAACTTTCTCAAATGGCATGGGGTGGGGTGACCCCTGGGGACTAACCCTGTATTTCATTTCATGTGCTTTATCATGACAAACCAGAATATATATGGTTTAGGGGTGGGGATCTCGACCATTTACAAGATATTAGAACTTTCTCAAATGGCAGGGGGTCGGGATGACCCCTGGGGACTAACTTTGTATATCATTCAAACCATCTTAGCATGACAAACAAGAATATATATGGTTTAGGGGTGGGGATCTTGACCACTTACAAGATATTAGAACTTTCTTGAATGGCATGGGGTGGGGGTGACCCCTGGGGACTAACCCTGTATTTCATTTCATGTGCTTTATCATGACAAACCAGAATATATATGGTTTAGGGGTGGGGATCTCGACCATTTACAAGATATTAGAACTTTCTCAAATGGCAGGGGGTCGGGATGACCCCTGGGGACTAACTTTGTATATCATTCAAACCATCTTAGCATGACAAACAAGAATATATATGGTTTAGGGGTGGGGATCTTGACCACTTACAAGATATTAGAACTTTCTTGAATGGCATGGGGTGGGGGTGACCCCTGGGGACTAACCCTGTATTTCATTTCATGTGCTTTATCATGACAAACCAGAATATATATGGTTTAGGGGTGGGGATCTCGACCATTTACAAGATATTAGAACTTTTTCAAATGGCAGGGGGTCGGGATGACCTCTGGGGACTAACCCTGTATATCATTCAAACCATCTTAGCATGACAAACCAGAATATATATGGTTTAGGGGTGGGGATCTCGACCACTTACAAGGTATTAGAACATTCTTAAATGGCAGGGGGTGGGGGTGACCCCTGGGGACTAACCCTGTATTTCATTTAATGGGTTTTATCATTTAGAACATTTTCAATTAAAAAGATTGTGTCTATCACAAACGGTTTTCAATTTATAATCATTTGAAAATTTAAAAAAATAAAATCCCATAGGGTTCTATAGTAAAACCCTCTTTTGTTTTTGCCCCTCAAAGTACCCCTTTATAAACCCCATTGCACAAACAAAATCCTGATTGCACCACTAGACATGTTAGTCTAACATATTGTGAAATCCTAAGTTAATCTGACAAGCGGTTTTGGAGAACAGGTGCGGACAAGTTCAAATTTAAAAGCGGCGGAAGAGGAAGAGGAAGAGGAAGAAGAATAATAATAATAATAAGAACTGAGCAAAAACAATAAGTCTTCCCAAACTTCGTTTGGGAGACTTAATGAAAAGAACTGATTTTAAAATTTCACATTGGGGTCTATCATAAAATACCTCAGACAGGACAAAACTTATAAAATATTTCTACTCACATTGAAAATTTAAATTGACCATGTAAAGTTTGATGTTCAGTTATGAACTTATAGCACTCAATTCTCATATCAACTTTAACACAACTGAAGCTTGATATTTATTAACATTAATGCATTCTAGTGTCAATAAATCTAAGACACTGAAATTTGATAAAAAATATCAGAATGTTAACCAGATATTAGATATAAACACTAATATCTAATTATTACACTTAAAGTTATTATTAATTATCATACTAAGGTCAGATACTAAGCTATATACACTCTGGGCTACAATTAAATCATAACACTACTTTGAAATTTAATTTCACACTGTTTGATACTAAGTTATCACACTGAAGTCTAAATAAAATTATCCCACTATCAAATGATCACACTTATGTCTGATTTCAAGTTAACACAAGGAGGTTTGATATTAAATCACCCCACTGAAGTCTTAAAATTAAATTAGTACACCAAGGTCTGATTTTAAGTAACACACTGAGTTCTGTTTTTAAGTTACACACCGAGTTTGATTTAATTAACACATTGAGATTGATTTAAGTAACACACTGAGTTTGATTTAAGTTACACAAGGAGGTCTGATATTGAATCATCACACTGAAGTCTAACACTAAATTAGTACACCAAGGACTGATTTTAAGTTACACACTGAGGTCTGATTTTAAGTTATACACTGAGGTCTGATTTTAAGTTACACACTGAGGTCTAATTTCAAGTTATACACTGAGGTCTAGCATTTAATTATCACACTGGGCTAATATAAAGTTACACACAAAAGGTCTGATTTTAAGTTACACACTGAAGTCTAATATTAAGTTACCACACAAAAGGTCTGATATTAAATTTTCACACTGAGGTCTGATTTTAAGTAACAAACGGAGGTCTGATATTAAATTTTTTTCACACTCAACCATCCTACCAGTCCTCCTCCTCTGCGCTGTAAGATGTTCCTTCCTTAAGGTGTAAAATAGGCTCATCTCTTGCCAGGAAGCCTTGTCCAGGCAAATTTAATATTTCAGCCTGGCCGTTTCTAATATATAACAAGTTAATCAGTATTGTATTTACAATGCTTTATATTTCTGAAGACTATCTGCAGAATTTAGAAAAATTCCCTTGTTCAACAACAGTTAGATAATAAATATAATCCTAGATTCACAATTTTCTTCAACTTCAGCTTACATTTTCATTTTTAAGTTTCACAATACTGACTCTATAGATTTATGTTGTAAATGATATACTAGTTATCCTTCTTTCAATTCAATTCTCTATGGTATAACCATCCCAGTAAGCTTTATTCCTTTAAAATAGATGTTGGAGGATAAGAATGGTTTTTCACTTCAGCCTCCCCCCCTTTTTTTTCGCAACCAATGTATTTTCTTAGAGAATTTGCTTACATCAAATGGACAATAAAAATTAATAACCCACATCTCATGTCCCAAAAATATCATTCCCCTTCCTACCCTCCCATATTTCAATGGAATATAGCCCTAACATTTTCCCTAAATACCCCCCTATAATGGAATAGCCCCAAAAATTTTCCTAACCTACCTCCTATATATTTGAATGGAATATGCCTTACATTTTTTTAACCTACCTCCTATATATTTGAATGGAATATGCCTTACATTTTTTTAACCTAACCTATATATTTGAATGGAATAGGCCTAACATTTTTCCTAATCTACCCTCCTATATATTTGAATGGAATATGCCTTACATTTTTTTAACCTACCTCCTATATATTTGAATGGAATAGGCCTAACATTTTTCCTAATCTACCCTCCTATATATTTGAATGGAATATGCCTAACATTTTTTTAACCTACCCTCCTATATATTTGAATGGAATAGGCCTAACATTTTTCCTAACCTACCCTCCTATATCTTAATGGAAAGGCCTAACATTTTTTACTTACTTGACACTGCGTCTACTTCTATTGCTGGACCTACTAGATCTGTCTGATAACTGTCCTTGTGTTTTGATTCTATGAAATATACAAAAAAAATACAGCAATTTAAAGCACGAATTTAATGAAGTAATTTTCTGTCCGTCTTTCAGCAGATAAATGTACCAGCAGACTTTGTAGAACCTTCAGGGTCAAGTTTTTTGGGTGTGGTCAGAAGCCAGACAATAAGATGACTACAAATAACAATCACTAATTTGCAACCGAACGTGGTTTTACCCTTGTTTGTAACCAATTAGGTTATTCAGAAATACTTATATATATTTTCATCTTAACATAAGTAAAATAATCATGTGTAAAATACAGGTTTCTACTGTAATTGTATCTAAACTATGTTTAGCTGCTTTGGATATCTTATTCACATACTACACAAAAACCTATATCAGGTACCCAGAATAGCATGCCCTGCATTATGCTGTATATCAATACTCTAACACAAATCCTGTATCAAACTCCTATTTGAATTACCTCTAGATTGATCAAATTCAAATTTGTAATAAAGCTATACATGGTAAAATTTGTATGATATGCTGTACCATCCCTTGATCAATATCAGCCCTCGGGCCTCAGGTTGATACAGCTTGTCATACAAGTTTTGCCAAGTATTGTTCTATTTATACCATTCAGTTGGATATCTAGTTTGTAGATAAGAATTGGATGGGCGGGGTTGACAATTGTAAGTTACAAGTACATGCCCATCTTTAACCATTGCTCCCAAACTCAACAGAATAAATTCAGTTGCATTTTCAGGAAATATGAAAAAAAGTGGGTCCACAAGTTATACTCCAGAGAAAGATTATATGTTGGAGAATTCTTTTGATTTAAATTAAAATCTCTGAGAAAGCTCCCCAGTTTATATACCATGTGAATACCAATGAAAGAAGTTGAGCTCAGCTCACTAATGATATCTTTGCTATATTATAGTATTCGGTAAACAGGAAGTTCACGAGAGATGGAGGAAAAACAAGTAAAACTGTGAGCTACTGCTCACTGATGATACCCCCGCCGAAATACTTCAGTAAACAGGAAGTTGTTGAGTGATGAATCTGAAAACACATCACACGGTATAGCTGACTTATATAAACCCTGAAACCAAATTTCAGAAATCCTTGTCCAGTAGTTGTTGAGAAAAATGAGACGAAAATTTTCAACTTGGCTATCATGTGTAAAATAACACAAGTGTTCGGTAAACAGGAAGTTGTTGAGTGATGCATCTGAAAACGCATCACACCGTATAACTTACTTATATAAACCCTGAAACCAAATTTCAGAAATCCTTATCAAGTAGTTCCTGAGAAAAATGCAACAAAAATATTCATGGGCCAGACGGACTGACAGAAGGACAGACAGAGGTAAAACAGTATATCCCCCCCTTTTTTAAAGCGGGGATATAAAAACATCACACAATAAAGCATGCTCACTTGAAGACAGATTTAAATTACAGAAAAAAATGAAAACAACACGTTATAAATTTCATGCGTCCGAAGCGCTTTTCTGGATTTACCTTCATCAGGAACGCTCAAAGACGAATATTTGAAAGTCAAGGATGAAGAAAGTCTTGATTTGTTTTTCTTGAGAAAAGGGGGACAAAAATTTCATACACAGCGATTATGTGAAAGAATACATTACTATAAGGTAAACAGGAAGATGATGAGCCATGAATCTAAAACATGGATCACATGGTATAGCATGCTCACATGCATCTTGATACCAAATTCCAGAAAATCGGACTTAAATTTTACGAGACAAATGGGACCCAGGTTATACGAGATGGATAGACAGAAACGGAAACCAACATAAACCAGTATACCTCCCCCCTTTTTCCTTTGGAGCAGGGGTACAATAAATACAGGTACATGTATATAATCCAAATGTTTATTCTTAAAAAAGCTTTTGAGTATTAAGAAATAATAATTGACCGATTGAACATTTTGAAGGTGTCTAACATCCAATAGCGAGTACTACATGTATATTTTTGACAACAACATATTACATGCATTAATGAAATATGAATAAGAAATATTATATTCATTTCATAACAAATAATAAATTATGATTAATTTAGTCCTTCGGTCTACAAGAAGAATTCAAATACAATCAGGAAACAAAAACAACAAATAGAAAAAAAAATTTGCTCAACGATTAAAAAAGATATCATATTAATTAATTAAATCTAACAGTCAAAAACAAAACAATTAGAATTTTTAAACTTACAATATAGATCGTTGACTTCGTGTAGACATAATTAATAATTGTACAATTATAAACTCACCTTCACTGATCAATTAAAACAAAAGAATCATTTCTCACCTGGGTGGATTGGCGTAGTATATACATTCGCTTGAAGATTCCAAATAACGTAATATTTTCTCAATTCGAATTTCCATTTTTCTTAACTGAATTTAACTTCACACTTTTATTTCTTGAAAAGTATAATTTTCCTGCTCATTTGTCCATTTTTTAAATTAAGACATTTCACCAATATATCATCCAAAAAGGCAAAAAAATGTCCACAAATTTCCTTTAATAACAAATACATCTTTATACCCTTTGTTTAAGGTTTTTAACATATGTTCTAGTACTATGTATTGAATTAAATAGCCCAGATTTTATCAAGAATATTACAGATTTTGAGATAATTAAGGTGTTTATTTAAATACTTGTTCACAATTCTTTTAAACACACTCAACACTTGTAAATGTCCAAAATACAATACATAAAAGAGCTGATCAAAGTTTACAAAGATACAAAGATTCAAGTGTATTTATAAGTCCTTTTCCATATTTTTATAAAGAAACCTATTTAAACTCTGGTACTTTTGCACATATTATAAAGATTAAGACTTTGGCATGCAAGTGATGGTCAGGAAGTGCGCCAAAAACATCATTTAAAAAAGTTTGAGGATTTACTGATGTATGACTGCTTATTGTTCAGTAGAAAAAAAATTTAGGAAATGAAACATCATTAATGAGTAACATATGACAAGTTTGGAGGACATTTGACATTTTCCTACTAAACAAAAAAACTTTTGATGAATTACTACTAAAAATCTGTGCTTACCCTTCCAGAGCATCTCAGTTCTCAAAATGTTTTTGTCTTTTTTCTCTTTTAGTCATGGTGTGGAGCATTATTCTTCAAATTATGATGTTAATCCCCTCCACCCCCTCCTCCCTTATAACATCCATTTATGTTATGATCAATAATAGTATAACCTGCTAAGCTAAACAACTTTACATCAAAACAGAGATAGAAATTTTAATTTTTTATTTCAACCCCCCTGCAGGAAAAAATGTAACTTTAAAATTTTCTAAGCTGTTCCTGTGTTTAGACCCTTTCTGGTTTTATAGCTCCCAGTGGTGGATTTTTTTATATATAAATTTGTGTTTTCAAAAATTTTCATTACCCATGCCCACCCACACCCTTTTATTATCATCATATTCAAGAATCTCCTTTTCAAAACTTGTAGTTTCTATGTAAAATTTCATTTTCTACATTCATTTTCTCCATAAATTTAATGGTCGATTAATAAGATATCAAATATCTTTATTACTTAACTGGTTGATTTTTACCTATTAGTTCATATGTTACAAATCATCCGGAACTGTTAAAACAAACAGTGGTATAAAATTTCTTTCCTTTATGTATAAAACATATTTTCTTAACACTTTTGAAATCAGATATGTCATTAAGCATGCTTAGCTTTATATATAAATGTTGTATTTGTAAGTACTGTTTTCAAATATTTGTAATACAATAGGATGTATTGTATTTAACGAGTAATTTATACTGCTTTTAAGTAGAAAGCTAATATTGTATTCAAATTTCATATTATTCACAAGAGAAAAAAAATACAATTGTTTCATTAAACCATTCTTTATGTACTGTGTGAAAGTAATTTTCTATGTGACAAATTCACAACACAGGAACAAATCAAAGCACGAAAGCGCTGTAAAGGCAGTTAATTACAGGTTGTGTGTATTTGAAGTCCAGTTATATCATTATCTTGCATAGAACAGTGTACTTATCAGAGGTGGCTTTCAGTATTTAAGATTTAGAGTTCTCTAATGATATTGAATAAGTTTTATGAATGTCATATTCTGAGCACTATATGAAGGCGATTGTTCTCACTTGTTTATGAACTAGTGCATTATGTCCAGTTTGTACCTTTTTTATCTATGTTTATAGTCAAATTAGTTATCAAAGGTACCAGGATTATAATTTAATACGCCAGACGTGTGTTTCGTCTACATAAGACTCATCAGTGACGTTCAGATCAAAATAGTAACAAAGCCAAACAAGTACAAAGTTGAAGAGCATTGAGGACCCAAAATTCCAAAAAGTTGTGCCAAATACGGCTAAGGTAATCTATTCCTTGGATAAGAAAATCCTTAGTTTATTCATTGGCAATCATAACACATCTCCTTATTTATATAATGATCTATATTCAACGACCTCAGGTACAAAAAAAATGTATGTAACTAAACTATGATGGGAAACCTTTGACTTCTTTCTTTATATAAACTTTTGATTTGGTACCATAGAACTATGTAGAGTAAATGTACATTGCAACATGTCAACTCTTTCAACTCCAAGCAAAATTATATTTCCGAGCATAAAGTAATTTATGAATGAAATAAAATGCTCCGCTGGGGCGCAGCTTGATACGACCGCAGAGGTCGAACCCTGAACAGTTGGGGCAAGTATGAACACAACATTCAAGCTTGATTCAGCACTGAATTTGGATTGTAATTAAATATTTGACACAGCATAGGTTTCTGACACAGAATGAAAGTGGTCTAAGATACTTAAAAAAATTTAATTTACCTATTCAAACCATATCATTATTATTTGCTTTTATATATAAATCAGAAATAACCAATTTAAAATGGAAAATTTTAAAGAAAAAAAAGGAAAAAGAATCCCCCCCCCCAAATTTTTTGAACCCCCTTATGATTCATCACCCCAAAACTCAATCCCAGCCTTCCCTTTGTGGTATGGTACCTTGCAGTACAATTCCAGAG